GAAAATCATTGCGTAGAAGAAGGGCACTTTCTTTAAAGGTCCCATCAAAAAAGGACCCGAAGAATAAAATAAATTATAGCCTGAAAAAGGTTGGAAAACGCCGAGTGAAATTTTGGTTTTTGTAACAAGCACCAACGGGGGAAAACCTGGAAACAACATCTGAAGCTCACCCATTCCCCCCGGGGCCGCGGGATTTCCCACGTAAAAGGCCTGATTGGCAATGAAAAAAAATACCGGAACCCGTGGGGAAGGGCACCTATGGATAGGGGGGTTAGAAAAGTCAAGTGTGGTGGCATTAAAACTTCAAGCAGCGAAGGGAAAGGGTTTCGAAGAATGGAGTTGTGGGTGGGGAGAGGGAAGAGAAGGAAAAGGAGGGGATATGTTATTTAAGGTTTAGTCTTGCAATATATTTGAAAAAGGCTTCAAATGTTTCTGAAATTTAAATGTATGGGAGAAATATTGGAGGTAAAGGAGGGGGGTGAGTAAAGTTTGGGACAGTAAAACCAACCCCGGGGGGGATTGAACCTGCGGTTTAGAGTGCTCAAAATCCGACCAAATGGGGTTGACCCCGGGTTCAAACCCACCCGGGTATGGTTTGTTTGCAATCATGTCTTACAAATTTTGCGTTCATTGGGGCGAATGGATGTACCAAAGTAAGGGGGGCGAAAAAATGTAGGGGGCTGGAGAAGAAATGTGGGGGGGGAGAAGAGGCGAAACCTGGGGGGTGGGAGAAGAGGAGAAACTTGGGGGGGGATGGGGGGGGAAGGGGTGTCGAGGAGGGGGGTGAACTTCAACTTGTAATAGAGCCCGGAGAGGGGAAGAACTAGGCACAGAGATGGGAAAAGGGAAAATGCGGGGGTGGGAAAAGGGGAAGGAAAGGGGCAAAAATGATTTGAGCAAAGGGGATTTTTTGGGCTTTGAAAGAGGGGGGCGATTGGTATAAGTAGTACGAGGGCTTGCATACCGGGCTTGGAGGAATTCAAATTCAAAGTTTATTTCTATGGATTACAATGCTGAGTTTACAGAATTTGGTTATTGTGTGGTTTACATGTAGTAAAATAATGATTACAGAGTGTACCACTAGAACACCTAGCATGGCTAGGCATTTCGGGCAGACTTAGTTTAATTCTTAATTTTAAAATATTACAAATTATGAGGTAAGTTGGTATTATGGCTAAGTGACTAAATACTAGTTTGTGAGTTTAGCAATGTGAATGCTTTTGTTTTGGCACAGTACATAGTTTCAGGAAGGACGTGAAGATGTGAGAACAGACCGAGTTGTAGTCGGGACGTCAGAGCCAAGGACAGCAAAAGGATTAGATGCCGAGTGGCTATGGGAGTGTAACAACAGAGGAGGCTGCAGAAGATGGGACCCCAGAAGTGGGGAGACGTTTTGAAACACGAGAATAAGAAACACGGGGTACTCTCCCTTAGAGATAGAGATGAGTAACTGCCATAGCATAAGGGAGACCTTCTGCCTCTTTGAGGCAACGGATCTCACGCTCATTTAAGTAGACCTAGCAACGGCAAGAGTATGAAGAGCGAGCCTCATTACAATTAAGGCAAGATGGAGGTTGACTGCAAGATGTATTAGAATGGTTGTCAGCACCACAGACTGGGCATTCGGCTATAGATCTGCAATATTTCGCTGGGTGACCAAAATGCCAGCAATTTCTACGCTGTTGCGGTGTAGGGATCACCTTTCGAACTTGTAACCGATGTCCAGTGACATAAACAGAGGACGGGAGTCCACGGATGTTGAAAGTTAATCGAGCCACATTGCAAGGGTAATGTCTCCGCCCACGGGAAGGAAGGACATAAGTGTCTACTTTGAGGATTGGGAGATCCTGGAGTTCCAGCTGTTCAAGAATGTCATTGTCACATGACTGGAAATTCTGTTGGACTATGGTATGGGGCAGAATGACAGTACCACTACAAGAATTGAGAGAAAGATGTTTTTCAAACGTGATAGTAGTAGTATCGATATGCGAAAGGAGAGAAAGATCATGAGCTTGGGTAGCATTCTGGACAGTGACGATGCATGTACCGCTCTTGAGAGCATGAAATGAAATATCTCTACCAACATGGCACAGGAGCACTTTGCCAATACTATGGTCAGAAAGATAGGCAGAAGAAGAAGTCGGTCTTAAAGTAAAGAATTTAGTCCAGTGTGTGGTCCAAAACTGAGCGGGGAGAGGGAGTGCATGACGTGTCGGTCTTTTCCGAGTAGAATGGGAAGGTAACGAAGGAACATCATCAGGAGGTTGTCATTGACGTTTAGGAGTAGGACCGGAGTTGGTCTGTCGTGAAATGGGCTGGCAATTCGAAAATTGCCATACCATAGAGGGAGAGGCCGGAAGCATAGTCAAAGGAGAGTGGAGGTCAGACAAATCGAAGGAGTCAATCGAAGCCCCGGTACCTGAAGCGGGTGAGGAAACAGCACCAGCAAGAGGTACAGGGGCATCAAGAGTGTCCGAAGTGGTCAAAAAACAAGGCAGGGTCAGAATGGGGTGCGGTATCAAGAAGGGGCCCAGAGGTAGTGGGTTCATGGACTGGGTTCTCCATGGTTAGGTTACTCCTTTGCTTTGTTTTTAAGAAAAAAAAAGAAAAATAAAAAAAAATAAAAAAAAGGGGAGCAGGGAGGAATAGTTCCCAGGAGGAATGAAAGGGCTGGAAATCTCCCTCCGTGCCCAAGAGGACCTCAGCACCGCTAATAGCAGTAGTGCAGATGCATAATGGAACCCGTGCCATACCCTACCCTTCATACCAGTAAACCAGCAATCCGGGATAGCAACCTCACATCTGCCGAGCTACCTCGGTGGACAAAAGAGAGGGCGGCCGGATATCCACCACAAAGCATACCTCCTTCGGCCACCACCCCTCCGAAAGGTGGCTTCCAGAGATACACCCATTGCCCGAAAGACACCCAAAGCCACCCTCTGGGATACCAGAGAGGGATCGGGACATCCCCAGGCGATCCAGACTCCACGGCAAACTACGCCACCGCCAAGAACCTCAACGGAATGGGATGGACCCCAGTACCCTTTCCCCTACCTAGGAACTAGCGCGCCTGTGGGAAAAATCCCAAAGGCCAAAAAGAGGAAGAGCAAAAGGGAGGGGTGGGGAGGAGGAGGAAAGGGAAAAGGGGAGGATGGGATAGGGAAGGGGGGAAATTAGGTTAGGTCTGAGGAAGGAGACCGACAGGTCTAATTCCTCAGACCAAGAGCCTCTTCACCATGCCAAGGAGCCCCCTTGAAGAGGATAATCTATGTAAATGTATGCTGCTATGTATGATAATTATGTAAATGTATGCTCCTATGTATGATAATCTATGCAAATGTATTTGTGTATACCTGAATAAACTTACTCTTGCTGGAGGAACCTATACTATATATTGGTTTGTATCTTTAAATGTATCAGACGAGTCAAAGCTGTCTTACTTTTTTTCATTGTTCGATTCAGTTAATTATTATTTTATGTTTGTGTATTTTACGTTTAAGTAAACTATTAAATTTTTGTGTCAACTTTAATTTCGCATTTTCCATTTTTTTTCCTAAGAACGAATAAATAGTCTCCGAAATACTGAGGCCGCCTCAATCCATACACTTACCACCCCTCTGCTTCTCTTCTTTGTAAGTTAGTTAGTTTAATATCTTTATTATGCACCCCATACCCATCCTGTGGGCGGTAGTCAAAAAAATTACAGAGGTACATAATGGGTCCAGGGACTGGGTCTCAAAGTTTTGATAGCTGAGCAAGTTACAAAGGTAATGAACTCACAATTTACAAAGATAATGAAATCACAATTTACAAAGGTAATGAACTCCAGGTAGGTCTGGTCACAATCATGTCAAGTTACAAAGGTATTTACAGATTACAGAGGTACGTAATGGGTTCAGGGACTGGGCCCCCAAAGTTTTGATAGCTGAACTAGGTATAAAGGTAATGAACTCACAAGTTACAAAAGTAATGAATCCTGTAAGTATCGTTACTTACGTTTATACATGGCTACGATCATGAGCAAATTATAGAGTAACTGACGCTAATTTATATGATTCCTCACTGTTCCCTCTCCGTTATCGTTTTCTCGATCCAAGTATTATAATGGCGTTAGTTTGTGCTCCTCAGGAACATTTTCATCCTCCTGTCTCTGTCCACCTTGTCTATTCCACGCAGTATTTTATATGTCGTTATCATGTCTCCCCTGACCCTCCTGTCCTCCAGTGTCGTCAGTCCGATTTCCCTCAACCTTTCTTCGTAGGACATTCCCCTGAGCTCCGGAACTAGCCTTGTTGAAAACCTTTGTACTTTCTCTAATTTCTTGACGTGCTTGACTAGGTGTGGGTTCCTAACAGGTGCTGCATACTCCAGTATGGGTCTGACGTACACAGTGTACAGTGTCTTGAACGATTCCTTACTAAGGTATCGGAACGCTATTCTCAGGTTTGCCAGGCGCCCATATGCTGCAGCAGTTAAGTGTGTATGTACTCACCTAGTTGTGGATGAAGGGGTCGATTCATAGCTCCTGGCCCCGCCTCTTCACTGGTCGCTACTGGGGCACTCTCCCAGAACCATGAGCTTTATCATACCTCTGCTTAAAGCTATGTATGGATCCTGACTCCATTACATTGCTTCCCAAACTGTTCCACTTCCCGACTACTCTGTGACTGAAGAAATGCTTCCTAACATCCCTGTGATTCATCTGTGTCTTCAACTTCCAACTGTGTCCCCTTGTTACTGTGTCACATCTTTGGAACATCCTGTTTTTGTTTTGTGTGTGTGTGTGTGTGTGTGTGTGTGTGTGTGTGTGTGTGTGTGATAGAGAGAGAGAGAGAGAGAGAGGAGAGAGAGAGAGAGAGGAGAGAGAGAGAGAGAGAGAGAGAGAGAGAGAGAGAGAGAGAGAGAGAGAGAGAGAGAGAGAGAGAGGTGTTAAGATATTCTGCAGCAACAATACGTGTCGAGCATACAGCTGAGAGTTTAGGAAGGTTCCGTGGGCTGCGACCACTCACCAGCCTCACAACTTGTGTTGACTCTGCTGGTGAAGGAGCTCAGTGCTAATCTTGAGGATACATAACACATGCATTACTTTACTAACAATTCAGTGTCAGCAAACATGTCGAGTGCAGCAAGAACAGAAGAGACTCAGCGGCTGTCGTACATGTCAAGAACGGAAGTAGTGCGCCTGATAGTGGGCGGACTGGGTATAGCAGTGTGTGTGGTGCTGGTAATAGGTGCGGTCATTGCAGTGGGCCTCTACACTACCCAAGCCAACCGTATCCTCATCCTCACCGTGGTAGCTGTGTCAGCCGCAGCCATCTTACTCCTGTGTTACATCAAGCCATCATGTTTAAAACAGGTATAACAATTTGTTTAGCCAATGTCTATTGTTCGGGTATCTCAGTGTTTAGGAGTGCTTGAAAGCAAGCCTCATTACTTGACTTGAAAAGAAGGAACAATATCGTGACTGGAATACACAAATAACCCGCATAAAGGAGAATATCTTTATTTTTACAAGTACATGTACAAGGTATACAGTCCTAGCTGACATTAATGACATACTACTGTATAGAAAGCCCTTTCTTATGCTGAGTATTTCCCGCAAATTAGGTCAGTTTTGTCCCTGGATGCGACCCATACCAGTCGACTGACACTCCGGTACCCATTTTACTGATGGGGAACAGACAACCGGTGTAAAGAAACACGCCCAATGTTTCTACCATAGCCGGGAATCGAACCCGGACATTCGCCATTTATTCATGTAGGTTCGCCGGTACTTCCGGCCCTGGTAGACGAGCCTCGCCGTGTGAAGCGAGAGTTTTAGCCAGCAGGCCACGGGACACCCTGATACTTATGATGAAGTTTCGGTCCTACCTGCACCATTAACTAGTACTGTGTGACAAGTTTCGGTGCTGGTCCTACCTGCACCATTAACTAGTACTGTGGACAAGTTTCAGTCCTACCTGCACCATTAACTAGTACTGTGTGACAAGTTAATGGTCCAAGACGGACGGAACCGTCGTCTTAAGCTTCATTCTCGTCTATGCGGGTTATTTGTGAATTATTTGACTTGGGGTATGTAAACAGCACTCACAACACTTTCCCTCAACCTTGAGCGAAATTTAGTTCTAATGAAAGCTTATTCGTCATCATTAGATTAAAGATTTAATACCTACAAGTTAAATGATTAAAACACCGGCAACACCTGGGTACCTTTATGACCCATAAAGATACCCGGGTGCTGCACAGGTGTCTTAGTCATCAACTTGTTTCGTCATACCCACACCTGTCGACCTTACATCTCTGCATCTTGTTTGACTTGACTGGGTCAAGTCAAACACAATATGTGTGCCAATAACATCTGTGTGCCCTTAAGTCCATTGTAAAATAAAAATATGTATGAAATAGTTAAAAACTTACATGTAGGCTTTACGATATTCATGTATGTGAATAAACTCAGCGACAGATCATGGTGGTAGGAACTATTAAGTATAAGGTGTCAGATATATTCATGCACAGGAGCTAAACCCATAAGTGATACACCGCCTGGGAAATGGGAGGCGAGGTAATCAGGTTTGAGCCAAGGAATGGGAGGGTAACTTCAATCCCTTCAAGGAAAATATCACAAAATATATTCACTCAGCAACGGTATGTTAAACATTAAACTCTGTTAACTTAGTGAAGTATTTATTACTATCCTTTCTAATTATCACTAGAATTAGATTGCGAAAAGTTAAAAAAAAATGACTACCAGGAAAGATTTGTAGAGTGACGCACAATGTGCTCGCCCAGCGAGGCGCTTAACACCTAAATCGTTTATACAAGGTCTTGTAGACACTTAACTAGTACTGTGGTGGCCCGGTGGCTAAAGCTCCCGCTTCACACACGGAGGGCCCGGGTTCGATTCCCGGCGGGTGGATACATTCGACATGTTTCCTTACACCTGTTGTCCTGTTCACCTAGCAGCAAATAGGTACCTGGGTGTTAGTCGACTGGTGTGGGTCGCATCCTGGGGGACAAGATTAAGGACCCCAATGGAAATAAGTTAGACAGTCCTCGATGACGCACTGACTTTCTTGGGTTATCCTGGGTGGCTAACCCTCCGGGGTTAAAAATCCGAACGAAATCTTATCTATCTTATTAATATGTGCCAAAGTGGTTAAGCCACTTACCTTTAGTACCCCCTCCCCCTCTCTCCACACCCACCCACCCTTTTCCACATTCCATCCTTACCTGTCCTTATTCCTTCCCCAATTTATCAAACCTCTGGTTAAAGAACCTCGACCTTGTTGACAACTAGTCTTCACCAGGGTTCTAACATTATCTCAATAACACAGCAAATTATTAAAAACAAAATGGCGAGGTTTATCATTGATACTAGCGCTGACCACACGTGGTCACAATGTTTTCTCCAAATTTGTGGTTTTAAAAGTGGCATTTTTTTTTAAAGTGTTGAATTCACAGGTGAGAGCTGCCATTCTACCTGGGATGCTACCCACAACAAGTACCTACTTACCGCTAAGCGAATAGGGACAAAAGGTGTAAGGAAACATGACCAACGTTTCCACTATAGCCAAAATGGAACCTCAGCCACAAATCAGCTACGGGTCTAAATTGTCAGCTCTGAAATTATTATGTGTCCCTGTCCAGTCAGTTTCAAATTTTCAACGCTAGTATGCAGTAACTAGGGCAAGGTAGGTAGGTAGTAGATTCGCCGGTATAATAGCCTGGCCCGGGCCTTTTCCAAGAGGTGGCCCGGCCTTGGCTCTGTCGTGGGAGTGTCTCAGACCAATGTCTGCCATGGAAAGAGGTACAAATACCTCCTCGTCTTCTGGGACTAGTTGTCCCCAAGCCAAGCCCCATTCCCTGCCCCCCACGGGGCTAGGAGAAGCTAGGCACCTTGGGCTGCCCCCAAACCCTGCCCACACTGGGCTCGAAGAGTGTGGCAGCTGCATAGCAGCAGACGATATCAGGAGGTGCAAAGGCAGCAAACACTACAGGATCCTTTTGGAGCCACACCCCAGCTTTGGGCATTAAACCCGAGTGCTGGGGAAACTCAAGAATGTCTCTTGTTGTGTGTGTTGCTGTTGCTACTACTACACTTGTCCGATGCACTCCTCTCCGTGAACTATGGCAAGATTCTTGAAACAAACGACATATTCAGGTGCCTTATGACCTGAAACTTTTCCTGATAGCTGCAACAGAATACACAGGCATAACACGAGACAAAAACATCTGGCATCCCCTACGTCCGACTCAAGCCTGTGCAAAACCTCAATGCGCATAGAAGGTCCTAAGTCTGGAACTCCCTGCCTGAAGCATGAAAGGTCCCCAGGCTTGAAGCCTGTCCAATTAGCAAGCCTGGTCAATTAGCAAGCCTGGTCAATTAGCAAGAACTCATTTAAAATTAAGTCCTTTCTAAAAAAAATTCTTTTACCTTTAAAGATATTTTTTCATTTATGTTAATGTAAAAATTAATAATTTTGTACCAAAACAACCTTATAAAACTTACTTAACCTTATTATAACAAGAACAATTTAATTTAGCCAAATCCGACTAAATATATTTTAGACAAGTTTACAATAATTTAATAATAAACAAACACAACGAAATTATTTTTTTTCGTTAGGTTCAGAATGATTTTTGCTAAATTACTACATGCACAAATTTTCGCTTGACATATTCGGCAAGAAGAGAGTTGCTATTTAAGCCAAAAATCACAGGTTTTACCTATTCGGCACGACATATTCAGACTATGCAACGTTAAATGTCGCAAATTACAATAGAGTGAGAGAACGCTGTTATTTACGTGTTGAATAATAGTATAAAAAGTATCTATAACATAGTATATTTAACAGCACTTTGGTTAAAGGAATATCATTTTAAAATATATTATACACATTACCAACATTATGCAAGTCATGTAGATGGAGCCTCATACATCAACCCAACTTGTCTGTCAACATTATGCTTGACGTCAGTAGATTATATTGCTCAGCTATCAAAACTTTGGAGTCCAGTCCCTGGACCAATTATGTACCTCTGTAATCTTTTGACTACCGCCCACAGGATGGGTATGTGGTGCATAATAAACATATTAAACTAACTAACGTCAGTAGATATAACTGATGTATTTATGAACCTGTCGTCATAACTCTTCCCTTTCAATATATTCAGCACCTTTTCAAATAATTTTTATGGTTTTATATTGGATATAATAACCGAACGGTAATTCATATCTACAGTCATAAATCTATTTTTTATAGATACACAGAAAGTACCGGTAATTAATTTTGTCAGTCAGTTACCATCATCGTCACAAGCTGCGTTAATTCAGTCATGAAAAAAAAGTCTTCACTCCTCCAATTAATAAATTTAAAGACAACTCAATCAGAAATGTTCAAGAAATGGCAAAGTATTTTATCAATAGTGGTATATTACAGACCATTCTGGAGAAATACCCTGACTTTGCTAGCTGTAAATAGTGTGTGTGTGTGTGTGTGTGTGTGTGTGTGTGTGTGTGTGTGTGTGTGTGTGTGTGTGTGTGTGTGTGTGTTAGTTACCATTTTGTCCTAGGCACATGTCGATTAGACACTAGGCCTGTTGTGTGTGTGTGTGTTGTGTGTGTGTGTGTGTGTGTGTGTGTGTGTGTGTGTGTGTGTGTGTGTGTGTGTGTGTGTGTGTGTGTGTGTGTGTGTGCACGCTCGTGTGTATGTGCGCGCACGCTCGTGTGTGTGTGTGCACGCTCGTGTGTATGTGCGCGCACGCTCGTGTGGGTGTATGACCCACTTAATATTTGTATTTATAACTCATTCAGTTGTGAGTGAGTGTGGACGTGTCACTGGCTCATTACTTCGTAATTTGTTCACGATTGTAACCATGTATAGACGTGTAAATGATTCCATGACCTTTGTAACTTGTTCATGATTGTGACCAGATCTACCTTAGTTCATGACCTTTGTAACTTGCTCAGCTATCATAACTTTGGGGTCCAGTCCCTGGACCCATTATGTACCTCTGTAATATTTTGACTACCACCCACATGATGGGTATGGGGTACATCATAAATATATTAAACTAAATTAACTCCTCCGTTTAATATATCTGAGTTGCCAGATGTCACTTTTCCAAGCTGCGGTAAGATAAGAATTCGTTCGAATTTTTAACCCCGGAGGGTTAGCCACCCAGGATAACCCAAGAAAGTCAGTGCGTCATCGAAGACTAACTTATTTCCATTATGGTCCTCAATCTTGTCCCCCAGGATGCGACCCACACCAGTCGACTAACACCCAGGTACCTATTTGCTGCTAAGTGAACAGGACAACAGGTGTAAGGAAACGTGTCGGAATGTTTCCACTC